ATATTTTTAAAATAATTTTAAATTTTATGCGGAAATCGTATACATCTATCATGTAGTTCAACATTCACAGAGCTATATCATCACAATGTGGGTCGAGTCTTTTTCTCATGATATTTAACGACACCAATATAAGTGCAAACCTTACTTGCGGCAGAACAAATATGAGCAAGACTATCACAAGTGTTTTAGTACCTGAATCCTTGAGGACAATTCTAGACGATTTGAAAGATGGGCCCCATATTCAATTCTAACAGATGCATCTAATAAGGGAAATATTAAAAAATTTCCCTTGATCCTTCGCTATTTCAACAAGAATAAGAACATTTCCATAAAAAAAAATTTTCCTCGGATAGCGAAAAATCCAATGATGTAGATAGCCACATAATGGTAAATATAGCTGATTCAGGGTTATCAATGATTTGCAAGTAAGCTTTCTGCGCTGATAATGCCTTTGTAAATTTTAGCAAAAACCAAAGATACCGAATTGAGGAAGCACAATAATGAATTAATACCAATTGGCTGTATATGCCATATACTAAATAATTCTTGCAGGAAGGCAGTACTATCTGTGGATGTCGAAATAATTGTGATTAAATGTTTTAACGAATTTAGTCATCAACTAAAAGAGTTAATGAATTAATTTTTATAATTACTCAAAATATATTTTAGATTCTATTTGAAATTCTTTAAGAGAGCTAATTAAAATTTCGCTAAGATCCTCACCCGTATGTGGGTGGGAATTCGATCAGGTCCAATAAAAAATTTATCATGGTCCATTTATTATCTATGTAATGAACAGTTATTGAGAGGTACGAAAGACTATTTAACCCCGTCCAGATATCAGTGGTAATCCCCAATTGGGATGTCACGTTATTTAAATTTAAGATAATTTGTTTTTTGCATAAATTATAAATATTCGATAAGTGTTTAGACGATGTCTGACGGCACCATACCTTAATGTTTTTGTTAACATATTTAAAAATATCTCCAAACGATTCACTATCGAATGTATGAAATGGAATGTTATTTTTTATAAAACTTCTAAGAATAAGTTTATTTATATGGGTATTTTCCATATTAGTCAATTTTCTTGAACCATACAAGGTATCTGATACCATTTTTAAATTCTCACTTTCTAGTACTGTGGGATGCATTTTTCTTATATGGTTCTTTAAATTAGCTAAAATTAAAATATAGTAAAATCTATTATTGAAGCGATTATACTTGTTGCAGTACTAACCTTGTAGTGTACATGGCAACGTTTGCATTTTCGCCGAGTTTTTTTTGGCGTATCCATAAAGTTGGATTTAATACTTGAAGGACTTTCTAATCGAAATGGTGTTTCATCTTCTAATTCCCTAGCGGGACTAAATTGAATTTGCGTCTTATCATTAAAAAAAAATTTAATAGCATTTCAATATAGTATATTTAATCAATATAATAGCTTTTTAATAAATTTACCGTCAAAATCATTATTAATTTCTGAAAGAAAAAGTTGGCAGTCGGAATCTGAGTCAAACATATTTCTTAAAATATTTTTAAACGAAGAAAAAAAATATAAATTTTTAAAAATAAAATGGAAATATAATTTTTAATTTTAAATTAGAAAAAAAAATTTTATAATAAAAAAAAACCAGATGGGAAAAAATTAGTTATTAATAAATATAAAAAATAAATATAATATATTTTAAAAAAAATATATATCATTAAAAAAAATAATGGATTGATTTTATATTTTTGATGACTTAGTTTTCTTTTATTTATTTAAATCCATCTGGGAAAAAAATTTTTTATAGGCGTATGTTTAGGTAAAATTTTTTATATATTATCTTTTATTTGTAGTGAGATCCATTTTCCTATGTGATGTATATTTCATATATATATTGTATGTGATGTCTATTTCATATATATATTGTATATTTTATATATATTTAAACTATTATTCTTAAATGATTGATAAATGTCAATCAGTATAAATATATATTTAGTTAGAAATAATATTGATTTTTGTTTATATTTTTATATATAAAATCGACGCGGAAGGTTTTGTTAAAAAAACAAAGAAACGAATGTTTTTTACTCATTATTAGAATTATGACAAGATTTTATAAAAAAATTAATGTGATATATAATTTTTTGTAGAAATTATTGAATATAAAGAAAAATAAATACCAAGTATTATTAAATTGTAAAGAGAAGCAATTGAGAAACAATATATTAAGGAATATATATATAATCGGAGAGATTATATATTTATTAATAAATATTAATATAGAGTGATTTTAGATTTATTAAAATAAAAAATTAGAAATATTTAATTGAGAATCAATATATTAAGAAATATATATATAATCGGAGAGATTATTAATAAATATTAATATAGAGTGATTTTAGATTTATTAAAATATAAATTAGAAATATTTTACTATGATATAAATAACTTAAATAAATTAAATTTTTAGATATATTTAATAATAAAGAAATATACATTAATAGTTGAATTATCTTTTATCTCATAATAAATCGTTTAAATCTTTTAGTATAATTATATTAAAAATATTAATAATTTAAATTTAAATTTCAATAATATTAAATCCGCAAGATGGCGTATTATTATTTTATAAAAAAATTTAAAATTATTTTTTGTTTTATTATATTCTAATATTGTATTATGCCAAAATGGCAAAGGTCTAATACTAAATTATTTGAAAATTTTGATTATCTTACAAAATAATAAATCTATTTTAAATATTCATTTACAAATTAATATTTCAACTCCCATTAAAAATACTAGTCTCTCTTCCTTATCTATAAGAATGGGCTATTACTGGTATCTGTCTGTATCTAAGATTAATTTTTTCCTATCTGTATTTATCTGATTGAATATATTAAGATATATGACGACTAGAAAAAAATCTATTGTTATTGAGGTAAAAAAAAGTAAATGAATGAATGGCATCATGTGAAATATTTATATAAATATGATTCTAATTATATAAATATAAATTAATCATTTACTATACTATTTAGATAAATCAAGATAAATAATATTTAAATTATTTTATTTAAATAGTAACTTGGTATTATTGAATATCATTTGACACAAAATAATATTTTATATAGTAATATTAACAATATACTTTACCGGCATGATTTTGTTTTAAATATTATACATAGCCCTCCACCATGCGTATTATGATAATTCAGCTTATTAAAATGAATCTTTAATGTTTTAGGAGTAAATTCTGATATATAACATTTTTAAATGATTATATTTTTTTATAATAGTTTTATTAATAACACACGCCAACTTGCGGATTAAATATTATTGGAATTTAAATTTTTTAATTATTAATATCTTTAATATAATTATATTAAAATTTAAACGATTTATTATGAGATAAAAGATAATTCAACTATTAATGTAAATTTCTTTATTATTGAATATATCTAAAAATTTAATTTTTTATAAGTTATTTATATCATAGGAAAATGGATCTCACTACAAATAAAAGATAATATATAAAAAAATTTACCTAAACATTCGCAGTTTACCTAAGCACCTTAAGATTTTTACAATAAAAAATCCATTAATATATTTGTTACTTATATTTAACATGCATCACCTCCAAAAAAAATAAAAATAAAGATTAAGTAATGACAATACAATTGGTAATACAAAATATTAAGAAAATCTCAACTCAAAAAAAAATTTGGGGTAAAGTGACAACCGGAGGTAATTTAAATGTACTTTTATAATATTATCTGTGTCAGAGGATTAATTTGTAATAACTACATTCAATTTGCGAAAGAGGGGAGAGGGGAAGAGACGTATTGTTATAAAATTTGTTTCTGTAATCTTGGGTCAGAGGATTTATAAACAACCAATACATTAATTTTGTGAATGGGGGAGGGGACAATTTTTGTCATAAAATTTGTTTTTGTTAAGGGGGAAAGGGAAACATGTAATGTTTTAAAATTTGAATAATATTGGTTCAGAGGATTAATATGCAACAAATAAATCAAATTTGTGAAAGGGGAAAACACGTATTGTTATAAAATTTATTTCAATAATATTGGTTCAGAGGATTAATATGCAACAAATAAATTACATATAGATGGAAACAAAAAACTATAAAAATACTGATAAATAATTGAAAATCCAATTAAAAATTGATCTATGTGGACATCAACTATTTTATTATCTATTTGAACTCCTATATAACATTACTAATTCTCCCACTGACAATCCCCACATACCACTCTTGATTGCTAATTTAATTTTGTACTTTGTTTACTTAATCAACAAAAGAAAGATTATTATTTTTATCGTAAATTAGTATTAAGTTTTATATAAATTTTGATATATTTTTTTTTATACACAGAAATATTGAATCATTTTTTTTATGTAAAAATATTTTAATTTTTATCGAATTAAAATAATAACAAAAACCATTTAAAAAGAGTTGCCAAAATATTAAATAAGATCAGAAAAATAACTATCAGAAATATCTGAAAATGAAAATAATAAAGATCTGGAAAAAAAATATCATAATTATAACATTTTTCTATTGTTTTGTAGCCTTCTTATAACTAATTAGACTAGTTAATGATTATAGATTCGGTTAATTCCACTATATACTACTGACAATTTTATTTATATAATCTATATTTCATAACAAAAATCATTTTATAGAAAAAAATTCCTCTTATAAAAAAAATCCTCTTTTTTACGCGAAAAAAATAAAATAAAATAATAAACATTTCTTTTTTAAATAAAAATAAATTACAAATTTCACATTATCTCTTCTTCATATATAAAAATACAATATATCTTTGACCTCATTTCTTTTTCATATAAAAATACAATATATTTGACATTATTTTAATAATAATTTAAAAACACATAATACTACAACAGTAACATTACGTAAAAATTTTAGACCTGACGATGTATATGGCAGGTGATAAGTGTCTCTCGTATGAGGAAATTATCACAACTGCAAAAAATCATGTGTCAGATGAAATGCAGAAAATGTGATAAATCCTCATGTATAGTTGCTAGACAAAAAGATCCATTTTGTAAATATTTTTTATAAAAAATATCGTTTGATATTTATTTTAGGTAAGGACTGCTTTAATAGTTATTTTGAACATAAATTTCGAGCAACATTTGGTAAATACAGGATGATAGAGAAGGGTGAAATTGTCTTAGTACCTCTGTCAGGTGGAAGATGCTCATCTGTTTTAAAGCACTTAATAGATATCACTGTAATTTTATTGAAATTATATATAGCACAATATATTTAGGTTAAAAAAGATTTTAAAACTGGGAATTCTTTATTAAATTTTAAACCTATATATCTCTATATCGATGGTATAGTAAATATTACAATATATTTATGATTTTTTGTCTATAGATTATATACCAACATTAGGCAAGCAATATGATAGTAATTGTTCCTATTTTGATTCTGATAATTTATCAAATGAAAAGCAATGCACTTGTTATATATCAAAAAATATAAATAAAATTTTAGATATGTATAGACCTCTCATAGATATCAATTCACTATTTATAACATTTCTGGATATAGTTAAATTAAATTATTTAAATATTTCTAACTATCAAATATTTTTCAGGTCCATTATAATTATGATGAAAAATTTACTAATAATGAGAGGATACTGCCTTTATTTACAGATGTATCTCAATATTTAAAAATAAGACACCAATTTGTTAATAATACTCCACATGAATCACCTCTCAACCTATTGTTAAATTTACCCAATAACAAATACCCATTTCGAAAAACCTTGATCAAAATAATCAAGTATTACTGATAAACAATAGTTAATATTTTTAGCCACTTTTTTTCCATTATGAAATCATTATAGGGAGTGGTCTTAATTTTGTTAAACCATTAAACTTTGGCCAACTCCAAACTTATTTAGGCAAGTTTTAGTCCTAAAAAATAATCTGAATCTTAAATTGAGACTAAACTTAAAAGTCTAATCTAATCTCATATGCTAAACAATCAGTTAGGGCCTATTGGACGTGATTAAAATTAGATGAATTATTAAGTGGTCCAATCAATTATATTGGTGGGTGATTTTAGCTAGCATGCATTTTTTAATTAAGAATTCCCATTTCTGAGATTTTTGAATTTTATTTATTATTTTTAAAAAAAATTAATAACTTATTCTTATTTTACTTTTTTAAATTATTGTTCAGCACATGCAAATTTTATTAACATAATTGATATTTATGCAAACAGACAAACCTCAGACTGATAGATGCCAAAATTTTTTTTAAGATACAGGTCCAGCCAGTGAAATCAGGCAATAAATTAAAGATAGGAAGAAAATTTAACATTGAAGGTACTAAGACATGTATGGTGAAGGGAAAGGGGGTTATGACCTAAGATTGTCATTTAATTTGGAAAGGAGGTAGGAAATAATTTTGATTTTATTCTGTTTTTTTCTCCTAATTTTGATTTGAATTTCCCTTTTTGCTAATATGGGTTTAATATTGTCATTCATTTTGTAAGGGGAGAGGGGTGGGGGTGTAGAAGTCTCTTGCCAAGCCCTATATTTTATTGTTGATATTTTAATAACAAATCATGATCAATTTGCTTGACTTATTCAAATTTAATAAGAAAGAAAATAACATCTTATTTGATTTCAAAAAATATAAACATAAATTTTAAAATAATAATTATAATATTTAAATCAAATGAATAGTATCAAGAACATTCTTAAATTTTAATTTAATGTTTTTTTATAGGAAAAATATAGTCGTTAATGCCTGTTCACACCTGAAAATAAAGAAAGCCTTAATGGGAGATTATAACACTCTGATAGCGACCGAATTAATGAGCAGTCTTATCATGGGCGCAGGCGCCCAAATGTCCAACCAAGTGGTTCGTTTTCATATTACCAGAAATTTAATTATCATATCTATAATTTATGAAAAATTATATTATTTATATTAAAATAAAAGTATTTTTTTAAAACTAGCCATAGGGGAAATTAAGGAAAAAAATTATTATCACCATCTTTTTCTTATCCGTTCAGAAATTTATATATAATCTTTTTTATATATCGGGCACTTGAATCCTGCTCGATACAATTAGGATCGGTATTGGTACATTATATTATATTAATAAGAGAAACTATGGGGATGGATGTTATTGGTATTTAATACCCATGATAAGACAAACTCATTCATATGTTGTAATTTAGGATCACGTTGTTTTATTTCTCCGCTAAGATGAGACCGCGGGGGGTAAGATGAATACTTCCGAATTGTGGAAAATTGGATCATTAGTTTCTTTTTTAAAATATCACCTAACTTTAAGTTTTGGGTGGCAAATTTTCCCTATGAGTGTTTTTTTTAAAACAGTATTTACAAATTTGTTCATCCCACATGTCAAACATACAACCATATTTTTTTATTATTAAATTATATCAGACTTTTTCGCAATCCGTTGGCGGAGTCACTATTGTCAGGCCCTTAAAGTATGAGAATTCTTTCAACTTATTATCGCAATTTTTTATATGTGAATAAGTAAAAAATTATAAGCAATTTATGCGATTTTTTTTAAAAAAAATTCCAAATTCTGTTAAATAAATAATGATGGGTTCTTGGACTAAAAATAAATCTGATTCTGATTAACAGATATAACCAAATACCGGTTTTCATATATTTAGGAAAACCGGGTTTTTAGGTTTGACTCGGTTTCGATAGTTTGGGTTAGCAACTCTATTTGAATAAATCTTAACTATGTAAAAAAAAATTTTTTTAAAAAACGAACAAAATTAAGGGACGTTACATCCAAGGAAATCGCTTATTACATGCACGTCAATCATTTAAAATCCGTCATCACATCCGATTCGATACTAAGCAACGTTTTTTTTTGTTTTAAATATTACCTTTTAATTACAATTTTTTTTTAAAAAAAAATATATGACCACAGAAAAAACATTTAGTAAACTTTATGGAACAAAAGTTAAAAATTTTATTCCACGAATTAGCGGCCCTATTTTGTATTCTCCGCTACGAATTCGTGCTAACTGACAAAGAAAAAATTTTAAATTCTGCCCTGAGCTGGCCCTTATTTCAAAAGTGGTCCCGACCAAAAATTTTTGAGCTCTACATTTGGGTCAAGCTCGGACAAATCATAAACAAAAGTGATAGTGATTAGTGTTGTTAAATGACTCGTTTTGAGCCGATTTTTACAAACTGCTAACTCAATATTTTAGCCAGAAAAATATTGCCTAAGCCACGAGATTTCCCTGATAGATATCCAAACCTTTGTTCCTTCTACAAGCAAAATCTTCAGGCTTGCGCAATATTATTCTGGATGAAATATTGAGTTAGCCATTTTTAGAAATCCGAGCCGTTTAACAACACTAATAGTGATAGCATTTTAAACTATGATTTAGTGCCCGTTCTAAGATTTAAGCGTCGAATATTTGCTCGCTAAAAATAAAGTCATTTCAAAATTTTTTTTTTTTTGCAGAACGTACACAATCAGTCTAGCATCGAAGTGTTGACATCCAATTTTCTGAGCAACCTCCAACCAGAATTCCCATCACTTAATAACGCCATCTGCAAGTTCGTAATAGAAAAACAAAATGTCTCTCTCCATTTTTTTTACGTCCAACAAATCATACCAGTTATTTTCATTGGGTCTTAATTTTTCGAAACGATTAAGATCCTTCGTGATTTTAAGATACTAAAATTTTTCGATCATCTTGAGATTATGTGCATAATAGAATCTTTTATTGCCAAGGTTAGATTATGTGTAATATTAAAAATTAAGTTAATAGTGGGTGATATATGTTTCATATTGAGTAAGTTTTCAATTTGATAAATGGTTTATTTTTATCAATTTTTTTTTTGTAACTAAGCTAAATTACAGTGAAAGATGTAGTATGAAAAGTGACAATTGTCATAATCGATATTTTTTTTGAGGATTTTGCATAAGTTTGTCGGGGTTCAGGTTTAGTTAAATTGAATTTATTATTACAATAAATGATGTATATATGTTTAACGTCCATTTTTTCCCCCGTCAATTTGTTATTTTTAACAACTTTTAATCATTTTTTGAGCTTGTTTTTAAAAAATTTAAAAATCTTATTTCCGGATATGTAACCCAACCTGTTTGGAATACCTACCCTATGAATTGTAGACAATTTTGCTGTTAACCTTTGAGTCATTTATATTTTATATAAAAAAATATATGGAAAAAATCTAATATAAATTAAATTAAGTTTAAAAGTTCACAAAAACAAATTGCCCTTATGAATTGTAGACAATTTTGCTGTTAACCTTTGAGTCATTTATATTTTATATAAAAAAATATATGGAAAAAATCTAATATAAATTAAATTAAGTTTAAAAGTTCACAAAAACAAATTGCCCTTATGAATTGTAGACAATTTTGCTGTTAACCTTTGAGTGATATATAATTTATATAAAAAATATATGGAAAAAATCTAATATAAATTAAATTAAGTTTAAAAGTTCACAAAAACAAATTGCCCTTATGAATTGTAGACAATTTTGCTGTTAACCTTTGAGTCATTTATATTTTATAAAAAAAATATATATGGAAAATCTTAATATAAAGTTAAATTAAGTTTAAAAGTTCACAAAAACAAATTGTCTGAAATTTATAGATACATATCCGGTAAAATCAGATGTTTTTAATTTAAAAAAAAACGCGTTCAAAAAATGATTTAAAGTTGAAAAAAATAACACATTGACGCTAACATATGTATTTCTTTTTTTTAAAAAAAAATATATACCGTTAAATTTTTTGCCATAAAAATCTGGTAACAATAATAATCATAATTTTTATTTAACCCTCGAGAGGTAAGGTGGGAAGTCGTTTACAATATCTACTTAGACTAACGACTTCATTCATTAGAGTGAATTTTGAAGGGTCGTTGATTACAGATTTGGTGACCTGCCATTTTGGTTTCTCATAAATGTTAACTTCAATTACATTTAAAAATTTTTAATAATAATTAAAAATAACGTCTCCAAGATTCCTCTAATTTTTTTTCTTTTAATAATCACAAAATGATCTACAGCTGTCTTAATCGTGTAAAAGATTTTGTTATTCACAAATCGGCAAAGATTTAGTTCATCGCGGATTTCGTTGTCCCAAAATCACCAACGATCTAATTCGCGAAAGATTTTTGTTACGTAGATCAAGACGGGATCAATTTTTTAAGATCCCTTGTGGAAATAAATATAAAGGCAATAATTGACTTGAGTAGACTCTAAAAGAGATTTCAATAGAGACTCAAGTTAGCTTACTACAGTTTATGACTCGTGACTTGGCTCCCAAGTTTTTGAACTGAGCCGACACTCGGTTGAGCTACTTAACACTATAATTGCGCTATTTTTTGGGCGGCTAAAAAAATGGTTAAATCTAGCTTTAACCGGAAACTTTCAGCTCAGTGTCGACTTTTATTAAAATAAAAAAATTATATCAGAGATCTGCAGGCACTCGGCCCGGAAATGGTATGATTTTTAAAAAAATCCTGTATTAGGCATGTATATGTATGTATGTTTTTTAGATCCAGACCTGGTCGGAAATTTTACCACCTACAGGTCTCGGGAAATTAGCTTTCAACTTTGAAGAAATTATAAATAAAAATGCCCGCCTTAATGTTTTAGCAGATTTTTTTTAACCATTACTCAAACTATACCAATAAACAATCAATTCATGAAAAATATTAATTTAGAAAAAAAAAGTGCCATGTTCTATTTTCACTATATTTCTTTTCTTTTTTTAAAAAACAAAAATTTAATAGGATAGGTGATAAAGTGAAGATGGAGAACGATAAAGTTTTGAACAAGAAACTATCCAATCAAACTCGAGTTTGCCAATTTTGCAAAGTAAGAAATTCTTCATCGTTGTTTTTTTTAAAAAAAAATGACATCATAATAATAGCGGAGCATGATCACCCCGATGAAACAGATAAATCCGCGGGAAATAGGGGAATTTTATTTTTAACAAAGGGGCCCCGTTTTATAGTGATCGCCGCTCTGTCGCTGAAACGATGCCTAATTTACAAAAAATTACAATTATGTTGAATCATACAGATCTATCGTTTAACGATAGGAATTTCGCGTCGTTTAAGTGACATCGCTGTATTTTGCGGTTGCTATGAACGACGTTCTCGTCTTAAATCTTTTTATATCTGTCTCCCACTCAAGTACCCTTAAAAAGATTTCTAAACCATTTAACTTAAAAACTAACTAATGGCCCTTAATTAATGATGTTGTGTATTTCAACCAATCCCTCCTCGACGTGATGGGGGATTGGTGGCATCTTCAGCGGCTAATGGAGGTTTAACAGGTTCCCTGTAGTCTCGATTCAGAATATGATCACCGTCTATGGGATGTAAAAACCATCTAAAGGGGATGATGTAGGAAGGGCATCCGATTCCCCCCCTGCATTCCCTAACGATATAATTCAATCTGTACGCATTTGAAAATGATTATTAGAATTTCAAAATAATTTGATCACATGACTCAGTTTGCATAACATGATTAGTAGCGCCAGATGATTTTTGAATATAAAGTCATTCTAATAGCTTTGTATCAATCAATAATGTTTTACTTAAAATCCAAGGAATTTAGTAGACACCTTTATCCCTACATCGTAACAGACGGTTTCTCTAACAAAGAAATCGCTTTTAACGAGTATGACTACGTTGACGACGAGAACAAATGTATCGGCAACCCCAATGACCCTCGAATGCCAAAGTTTTCATTTTTTTCTAAACATAAATTGATTCGTTACGCAATATAACTGATTTTTTTAAATGCGATTTATTATTCTATTTAATTTTCATTTTACCATTTGTCGTACAAGAGCCATGATGTGCCAATAAATAATAACCTGCGGATTTATTCATTAAAATACACTTTTAAAATCATCTGGTGACGCGCCATCTTGGTTTCCTATGCGAAAACTAATTTTCTTTAAAACAAAAATAAAATTTTAATGTAATTTGTTTATAATGGGAAATCCAACATGGCTTACCACCAGCTAATTTATATTGTTACGCATTTAAATAAACGAATCGTCACTCTAGGCAATATTATAATATCTCATTTTGTAGTGGCTTGAGCCTCCCAAAATTTCTTTTCCCTAAAATTTAGTCATTAATTTTTTTATACAGAGATACCGATTCTGCCCTTTCTTTCCTTTTCTCTTTCTTTCTTTCTTTCTTTCTTTCTTTCTTTCCTTCCTTCCTTTTTTTTCTTTCATTCATTTTTTTTTTCGATAAAAAAATAAATAAAAAAAAAATTCGAGATTATTGGAAAAATTTTATTAAAAATATAATTATCACGTATTAAAATTACTTCGTTTAAATTTGAAAGGATACATGGTTATTGGGAGTGCCCTCAGTTGGGCCAGGATCATAATTTTTTTTCTGGCTAGAACTTTAAGTCTTATGAAGTTCAAATTTTCTAATTTTTTTTTCCCCAGAAGTTTAGAGCAATATCTACCGGTTAAGATAGAAGGAGGGAAAATAATGGGCGTCATTCTTGTTTCTAAATCAATCTTCTAGAATACTGTAATTTGAAGGAAAAAAATAATAATAACAGCACTTTCTTTTACTTTCGTTCGGTTCAATTTATAAGATATATATTGTGTTGTTAAATGGCTCATTTTGAGCCTATTTTTAAATACGGCTAACTCTAGATTTTAGCCAAAGAAATATTGCCTAAGGCTCCAGATTTCGCTAATAGATGTCTAGACCTTTGTGCCAGCTACGAGCAAAATCTTCAGGCTTGAGTAATATTTTTTGGATAAATTATTGAGTTAGCTGATTTAAATATCAGCCGTTTAACAACGCGCATGCGCGTACGCAGGAATTTGGTGTGAAGGAAGGGAGGGGAGATAATTGAAATTTTTATTTAAAAATATCAAGCATAAATTTATTAGGATTAATAACTATTTCTAATATACAAATTTAAATTAATATGAATTATAAAAAATTAAATATATAAACTGTTATTTTAAAATTAATATAAATTATAAAAAATTAAATATATAAATCGGTAATAAAAATAAATTTGAATTAAAAAATATTAGATATAACCGGCGGCATATAAATACTTTAAATAAATCTGAATTATATAATATTAAGTGGATATAACTAGGATATGAATGACTATAAAATAAATAACCCATAATAGAAATTTAAATTTTTTTGAGCCTTTAAAATTTACATATAAAGTATAAAAAATTTAAATGTTGGAAATATGAATAATTATATTTTGTATGTAAAAGAAAAATATATAAGACATTAAAAAATTATTGCACAAAAAAATATTATAGAAACATTATATTTTTATAATGTAAAATCCAATCTTCGTTGTGATTGAGCTAATTTTTCAATTATCTCATCCGTGCTTGGCGTCAAATGCCTATGAATATTCAAAAGGGCCAGACTATTCAATCTACTTTTAGAAGTTATACTTCTTAGGTATGGTTTTAATCTTCTTAAAGAAGTGAATGTTCTCTCATTAGTTGCAGTACTAATGGAAAGAGTTGCTAATATATAAAATAATTTCAATATATTGGGAAAATAGATGTTTGAAATGATGCAAAGCATCCATAGCATTTTTTGGGACTATCAACCATAGTTAATCTTTTATACCATAGTTGGCATTCAGCTAATAAAGCATCATGAGATACATTAACGTCTTCATGATAAAAATCTGCCAAATATTTTATTTTTTTCTATCACCATCTGAAAAAGGTTCAGAGGGCTTTTGCGGAAGTAATATCTGCAGATTGGTAAGTGCAGCTTGACGAATTAAAAATTGTTTATTTACTTGGGTTATAAATGTATCCAAAAGAGGTATAAAGACATTTATTTTATAATATTCTTCTATTGACCCTATATTAATATATGGACGATAATTGCCTTGCTGCAAGTCGAGGGAGACAAATATTGAACTCGTATAGCTCTGCTTGATTCAACAATAAAATATGAAATTCCTCATCAGCATTAGCTCTAATTTTCTTGAGTTCTAATAAAATAATCTCTGCCAATCAAATCAATATCAGGTTTTTGAAAAGTATTACATAAAATAGTTGTATAATTAAATAATTTATTAATACATTCTAATGTAAAAAAAAATTTGGTATAAGTATTGCCAGTAACTTGCTTGCTTCTGAAGAAATATCTCTTTCAGACCATTGTGATACTTTTGTAAGAGCATTAATAATCGGCTCTTCTAACTCCATAAAAGCTGTTACTGCTTGATGTCGAAGACTCCATCTTTTTAGACAAGCTTTTTGCAATTTTTTTCTCCTTGTTGGGCAAGGAGTTTCAGATATAATTCTGTTCAAAATATTTTGACGCTTGGGGTATCTAATTTCATAGATGCTAGATATTTTACCTGATGTAAATATAAAAATTGAATTAAATAATTAAAATTATACCTAAACAATATATATCAATGGTAAAGAACATGAATTCGATAGTGCTAAGTTGAGTGAAAGTGGACATATATAGCTGTTGGGCATTTTTTTAACGTTCATATTTATATTTAGCTATATTTTTGAAAATAATTTTATAATAAGATTAATTATTACTTTTAATTTTTTTAAGATTCTCAAATATTACATCAGCTAAAGCAGACCCAGTCATGCTTGAAACAGGAATTAATTTTAGAAACATTTTCTTGATAATGTTATTATGAGTATCTACAAATCGCGCACACAATGACATCTGCTCAATGCCCACATTAGAATGTATTAATAAATTATTTAATTATACAACTATTTTATGTAATACTTTTTAAAAACCTGATATTGATTTGATTGAGATAATGAGAATAGCAGAGATTATTTTAATACGAGCTCAATATTTGTCTCCCTCGGCTTGCAGCAAGGCAAGCTCATTGTTCAAATATTAAAATAGGGTCAATAGAAGAATATTATAAAATAAATGTCTTTATACCTCTTTTGGATACCCAAGTAAATGAACGGTTTTTAATTCGTCAAGCTGCACTTACCAATCTGCAGATATTACTTCCGCAAAAGCCCTCTGAACCTTTTTCAGTTGGTGATAAAAAAAAAATATTTGGCGATTTTTATCATGAAGACGTTAATGTATCTCATGATGCTTTATTAGCTGAATGCCAACTATGGTATATAAGATTAACTATGGTTGATAGTCCCAAAAAATACTATAGATGCTTTGCATCATTTCAAACATCTTTTAGATTATTTTCCTAATATATTTAAATTATTATATATATGAGCAACTCTTCCCATTAGTACTGCAACTAATGAGAGAACATTCTCTTCTTTAAGAAGATTAAAAACGTACCTAAGAAGTATAACTTCTGAAAGTAGATTGAAGAGTCTGGCCCTTTTGAATATTCATAGGAATTTGACGCCAAGCACGGATGATATAATTGAAAAATTAGCTCAATCCCAACGAAGATTGGATTTTACATTATAAAAATATAATGTTTCTTTAATATTTTTTGTACATTCATTTTTTAATGTCTTATATATTTTGTACATACAAAATATAATTATTAATATTTCTGACATTTAAATTTTAAAGGCTCAAAAAATTTTAAATTTCTATTATGGGTTATTTATTTTATAGTCATTCATATCCTGGTTATATCCACTATATATTTTATAATTCACATTTATTTAAAGTATTTAGCGGTCGGTTATATCCGTTTAATATTTTTTAATTCAAATTTATTTTGTATATACCGGTTTATATATTTAATTTTTTATAATTCATTTATATAACGGTTTATATATTTAATTATTTATATTTCATATTAATTTAAATTTGTATATTAGAAATAGTTATTAGTCCTAAAAAATTTATGCTTGATATTTTTAAATAACAATAATTTTATTTTAAAAAAATTTAATTATCCTCCCCCCACACCAAATTCCTGCTTACGCGCTGTATACTTTTTTGCTTTTTGGTATGATTTTCACTATCTTCAGTAAATTAAAAAAAAGTCTAATATCCATGACTAGAAATTTGAAAATGGTGAAAAAATATAATACCGGGAAATTTGAAAATCATAGATAAATATTACGTCAAGGAAAACTTGAAAATGAAATTAAATGATACGATAAATTAGTAAATGAAAAAGGTAATAATATAAAAATTTAAAAGAACCAGATATAAACAAATATAATAAAATATAAATGAATATAAACATAAAATATATCCGGCATCTGCACTTTTTGGCTTTGGGGGGGGAGGGGGGATTTGTTCCCCTGTCCCTTCCCTCTGTGTACACGCCTGACAACACTAGATATATATATTTAGGATTTTTCTCCCGTTTAATGGCAGTTTACCAGTGTTGTTAAACGCTACTTTTAAAAGTAGCGCGCTATTAGCTACTTTTTACGCTATTTTGATTATTTTTTAAAATATTTTTTACATAACTTTATTTCCACAAATAAAATATTGGTATAAAAACATGACTATAATTTGTTACATATTTTTATATAATTTATTTAATATTGCACTTTAATAATAATAACATTTTGGTACTGTCATCTCCAAGTCTAGAAGTGACGATCAGAAAGTATAAGCTTTGCCTTACTAAATAATCGTTCAGCACTAGCACTTGAGGGCAACTTTAATAAACACACTTTTTATATGAAAAAATCATCAAAGATATTTAAATGAGTATTTTTAGATTTAAAAAAAGCATCTAGAGGTTCAATATTATTATTTATTTCAAAAAAATCGTCCATGGAGCGGTTTCGATTTTGCTATAGTATTAGTATCGTGGTTAGGCATGGCATATTTTAACGTTACCATCAGCCTAGTTGCCCTTTAGATTTAGTCAAATTAATGTATGGCCAATTTAACTTGTAACTAGGATGAACGATAGCAGCTATTACATTATCATCATCATTCAGATCTGGAAATCTAATTTATATAAAGCGATTGTATTAATTATAAAATAAGAAGAATATCTTTTTAATTTCAAAATTTAAATTTATCTGAAATTTAGATTCATTTTTAAAAAAATATTAAAATAAGCATTAAATTATGATTAATAAAGATTTTAAAAATATAATTATCATACACAAGGTAATTAATAATATATTAATTTTGAATTTTATATTAATACTCTATATATATATTAAAATTATAGATTGTGTTGTAAATTAAGTCAATTTAAATTATGGCTAATCAAGCAATAAACATTCATTTTATATAATTGTTTAATAGAAAATAAAAATAAAGTTTTGACCTTTTCTCAATACCTTTTAGCATAGACTCTACCAGTGGTTGACAAAATTTTCTTGCATCGAAACCGATATCCAATAGTAATTTTTTCTTCAAGATTAAAGTATTTTTTTGAATTTTGGTAAAGGATAATCTATATTTTTCTCATTTTCCAAAGAAATTTCGCTTTCTTCAACAATCTCAAACATTTTTAATAACTAGATTTATAATGCTAACTAGATTTATAATGTATATTTTTAAATATAAATTTAAATTTCATAATAAAATAAAATGATTATAATTTTAGATTTAATAAGAAATATATTTTAATAATTTTTAGATGTATTTATTATGTAAAATTGAAAGTAGCAAAGTAGCTCGCTACTTCGCTTTCTAAATTAGTAGTAGGCTACCGCTATCGCTATTTTCTAAAAAAAGTAGCCAGCTAAAGCTACCGCTACTGAAAAAAGTAGCGCGCTATTTTAACAACACTGCAGTTTACCCAGGTAGGCCAGTTTTCCAATGATCCCCCTTTTTCTATTATTGATATCGCATTGAAAGTTTTAGCCCAAAATTTTTGCGAATATTATTTATTAGCATTGATTACTATTCAAAATGTGGTTATTTTTAATATCTTTCCTCCTCCCTCCCCCCATCTATCCTTATTAACCTTAATGTATTATAAATAGGTCAGTAGACGCAGTCCTTCTATGTTACAGATGCTACAACGTTCTACAACCATTGGTAAAATATAGAATTTTTTAAAAATCGTACATATCACAAAATAATGTTGCTAAACGGCTGGATTTAGCCAAAAAGTAAATTTACCGAGCTTGGATATTTTTACCCACAACATTGGCCCACCCGTTTTGGTGATCTCTTGGCAAAATTTCACGAGTCCGGTAATAATATTTTAGGCTTCTTAAAAAAAATAGGCTAAATTGAGCCGTTTAAAACGCTAAACACAAAGTCTCCATAAAGAGTTTCGCAAGTATTGAGTATCAACTATTTGAAACTACTCCACAAGAAAAGCTGTTTCTTATTTACTTTTACTTTTTTAGAATACGATTATAATTAAGTTACCCCCCCCCCTCACATAACCAGAGTTTGAAAAGGAAAAAATTTCGATCACAAATCTTCTAGGTCACAGCCTTTATAAAAAAATAAATGAGTAAAATAACAAAGCTATATAGCCACTTTAAACAAACCTAAATAGGTTTGCCTAGTTCAAAATATTTTTAGCCTAGGCTAAACAGTATGCTCAATAAAACGGCAAACCCAATATTTTGGCCAAAAAAATTTTATGCAAAGCCTCGAGATTTCGTTAACAGGCATGCGCAAAATCTCCACGGCTTGTGTTAATATTATTTTGGCTAAGATACTAGGTTAGTCGTTTTTAAAAAAAAAATCGACCATTTTTAACAAACACTACTAAACAGCATTAAGTGTCAAAATTAAGTTATTAAACCCTGATAAAATATTTGGTTTTAATAATATATGGCTCGACCCGGGTATTTAAAAAAAACACTTTTTTAGGCCCGGTTCGGGTATATTTGAAAGAATTAAAATACTGCTGGGCCAGGGTCATGGCCTGGCCTGAAGATCTCTGATTCAAACTTTTTTTTGTAACTCATTTTAGAAGTTGGTTTATTTAACTGTTTAACAATCGTTTTTTTAATTGCTAATTAGCGACTCTTTTGGTTTAAGGCTAGGGATGTTAAAAAACATTGTTTGGGGGGGGGGGGGGGGTAGTTTAAATTTAAATACTATTTTTATAATCCGGGAAATAGAATCTATGCAATTTTAATCACAAAATATTGTTTTTTTTTCAATATCACAATCAACTGAAATTTTAATCTACATTTTATAACTCGCTCATTTTGTTGAGTTGAGTTTAAATTTCGCTAAGCTTTTTATACTTAAAAATACTGGTTTTTTGCGTTCTTACTTAAAGAAAGGGCTTGTTAAAACTTTCAAATTCAAAATTTTTATTAAACACTTATTTTCATGTTTCAAAAAGGATACAAAATTGTTGCCTAGAATCTTATTCTACGAATAAAACACGTGACATTTCGCAAATAAAACAAATGAATGAATGGGAAAAAGGAAAGATATAGTGCCTTAATAACATAAATTTATATATTAATTTTTTATTATAATGTATATTATCGTGATTAAATTGTAATGCATAAGCATTTCTGATATAAAATGAAGGCTTTTTTGTGTTAAATAAAATGGAGGTTAATTCTGTTAAGTAAAAAAAAATGGAGGCAAGCCTTTACAAACACAGTTTTTTTTAAAAAAATTATAATTTTAATTTTTATTTATAATCCAAAATCTCTATTGTCTACAAAAAATATGGCGGTAGCTCAGAGGTTGGGACCGAAACTGAGCCTTGGGGCTGAGCAAAATTTTCTAAACAAATCATTCCTGAACTCAGAACTTGGCCAATCCTACTAGTAAAGTGTCGTTATTTTTTATTCAATTCTAAGAATATTCAAATGCCTAAAACTCATTAATTATTATGCATTTTAACAATATCCAACACTTTACAATATATTTTGTGTTGCTCCTTTACAATTATAATACACTAGATTCCTGCATCTGACATAAATTTTTTTGGGATAAGCTCCCATCTGAGCTATAAAATAAATTTGGAACCAATCCGATTTCGACATCATTTTTTTAGAAATTTGATTCGAACTATTATTTAAAAATAGATCATATCCAGTTTTGAGAAAAATATATAGTAATAGGATTGATTGACAAAGTATACTATTTTTCAAGGTGAACGGAAAAAAATTATCGGCGAAATAAGAAATCCAAAATTTTAAAAAATGGCGTCTATTTTTGATAAAAGAGATTATCCCTGCATTTCACAGTTCAACGCGAATTTGCGACGAATTATACAAAAATTAGTGTTAAGATATTATATTTATTTCGTATTTTCTATAATTCGCGCCAACATTGAATGCGGGTTTAAGCATTGTCCAAAATATCAAAAAAAAATGAGAATCGCAAACTTTCGAAAAAACAAAAAATAAGCTTATTTTTGATACAAAAATAAAATACATGTCCAAAATTTTGTTTTCAAGAAAAATTTAACATACAATTTTCCTTAAGAATTTTTGACGAAATCTGAATCAGGTGGTTCAAATGAATATTTTAAAATCGGGTTCAGTTTGATATGTTACCCGGCCGGTCTTAGTTATGTCAAACTCCGGCAAGTCCGGGATTAACTATCAACTCAAAAAATTTCTCTTAACTCGGGGGTTGAACTATATTTATTTTTATAGGTTTTGTCGTATCACGAAAAGGTATCATCAATTATAGTAAGAATACTATTATATGTACAAAATATTATCAACGTGGGCATATCTACACGACTCCAATTTTAATCTTATATCAATTATCTTTTACAAGATCGTCGTAGCTATTTTTTCTCTCGCAGCCCTTGTAATAAAAGTTAGACGAAAACAGGTCGTTTTGAGCCGATTTTCAAAAACGGCTAACTCAGTATTTCATCCTGAAAATATATTACGCAAGTCTGAAGATTTTGATCATAGAAGGAACAAAGGTCTATACATGTATTATTGAACTAGGCTTAGACTCTCTGGCTATGAAAATACTTAAAACGAACTGTTTAATAACACTAATTGCAACGTCAACATCTGTTCTAACTATATTTGTATATTCGATTTGATCTCTAACCTTATTCTGAAATATTTGCAATTTATTTTTATTTTATAACCAAATCTTAAAATTCTTCTTTTTATATCAGCATCATTTCTAAAATATATAATTTGAATGCCGAGTTTAGAAAAACATTTAGCATGTTCTCATTCTTTAATCTCTAAATTTAAATCCAATCTTTAATTGATCTGCTTGTTATTTTTCATCTCAATTATTGTATCTGTTGGTATATAATTGACATTTATGAACGTTTTTCAATTGATTTTGAACAAGAGAATAACATTTTGTGTTCTTTGTTTTAGATCATGTGTTATTATTAAATGAAATAAGTGAAATTATTCTTTGGAACGTATTTTAAAATATATAATATAATGATACTAATTTATAATACCAATAACGTCAGCTGCTAACTATATCATGGTCTTAGAAATATTTTTACTTTCTTAACCATCTATCTTAAATTGCATTAGCATGCATTCTTTCTTGATTTGCAAAATTTTAACTTCTTTTACTTAAAAATTTAAAGATCTGTAACCTTTTTTACTGCCATTTTTCTTCTTAATAACAGCTATTAATATCAGGGTTAAATCAAGATAGTATCTTCGGGATGCTCATTAGCGTAAATTAGAGCAAGGGTAAAATTATCAAGCCCAAAACATTCACAAAATTTATTAGGAAAAACCACTTTAACAAATACTGATTAACATTAAAATTACCCTATATTCTTCTAGAGGAGAATGCGTTACTATATCCACATCCCGTATATATTGACAACGAATGCTGGGGGTCCGAAGACGAGATAACTACATTCGACGATTTTATACAAAACCATTTTCCATTTGATCGCTTTGCGGTTTTAATTATCAAATTCTTGGCACATTTAAGGAAAACTTTGAGATGAGCGCACAAATCAATGATCGATTGTATCATATACCATAATTACTCTGAATAAATTTCCAATGGGTCCCGTAATCAAAATAAGTATAGAGATAATTTTAATAAGCCAGTTCACATTGTAATTTATATGTAGTAATCCTAACGATGAAGAGTTATAACAAAGTTGGTGCTGTTCTTCCATATATTTTGAATTATATTAACTTATAATTTACAAATACACCTTCTCTAGGAATCTCTTTAAAAAACAATAATTCTAATTTTAAAGGAAAGAAAAACTTAACTAAATAAAATATATTACAGAGCTAATTTATTTTAAATTTTGAAGTTTTTGTAAAATAATTATTATTATGTGACTTTTTAATATATATATATCTTTTTTTTTTATTTTGTGAATAATTTATTTTTTTTAAAATAAAACATCGATATCAAAATAAATATAAATTTATTAAAAATTAATATGAAAATAAAATAATATAAATACCCTAGAGAGGAAGAGAATTAACCGGCAAATTTAGAAATCTGCTGAAGAAAGTAGGAATCCTTCTTTGAGCTCGCATTTTGCCTATGGTTTTAATAAAAATGGACCTCATTTCTGAACATGCTTAAGGTGTTGGTAACTATTATTATCAGACACCCGCAGACCAATAGCATAGCTCGTCTCGGATTTCTTTTTCGAAAATTTTTTCGGACCGGGTTTTTATTTAATAAATTTTCAAGCCCGGCCCGGTTTTTTTTTAAAAATATATTATATGATTTTTATAGCTAATAATGCCGATTTCAAATATTTAATTTTAAAATATATGGCCCTTCGGATATTTTTATTAAAAAAATTTGAGGCCAGACCGGGGTATATTTTAAAAAAAATTAAAATACGGCCCGAGCTTAGGGCTCGGCCTGCACATCTGATTATTATTAAAACTGTATTGATGCCAGTATGGGTGGCAGTAAATGCATATATAAAATTTATAATATATATTTTGTTTTCAAAATTTCCATTTTAAAATATATATATAGTCTTATTAAAAACATTAAAATAAACTTTAAAAAAATAAGGGTTACATATTATTCTAAAGTGGAATGAATGCTTAGAGAATTAACCGAAATATTTCAAGAGAAAATTGTTGACAAAAGTAGAATCCTTCATTAGGCTAGCTTTTTGTCCTATGATAATTAAATTAAGGGCCTCATTTCTGAACATACACATCATGTTGGGTAACGATTGGTATGAATCCTGTGTTTGTGAGGCTAGCTTGGATGGCAGAAAATGAATGAATAAAATTTAATATATATTTTGTTTGAAAAATATCATTTATATAATGGAAACAAAGTATGATGAAGGCACGTTAATTGGTGAGTGACCCCTCTCCTCTCCATCACTAGAGGTTTTTTTTAATTAAAAAAGAAAGCTATAATTCAATATTTATGGCTGATAAATTCTGATATAGATATTTCTCGTATAATTGAAAAATTTTATTTAAAGATTTATTAATTTTTTTTAAAAAATTGTATTCTTTTATGCATAAAAATTTTAAGATTTTCAATGATTACTTTATCAATATACAGAATTCTTAAAATTAATCTTAAAACAATCTTCATTCTGTAAAAGTTTCGATTTTTTTTATTTTTAAGAGCATTTCAAACTATTCAAAATATTGGGGTAAGCAGATAGCTTCTATATATTTTACATTCGTACACACGACGCACATTTAGAAATTCCTATTTAGCAAATAGCTTCAATTTTCTGTTAATAATATTGTTTTCAAATTATAGCTTTTACAAATGTTTAATCAATCTCACGCTTAAGGTGTGCGGTTTCATAGTTTTTATTTTGTTTATAATATGTTTTACTCGTGTTAGAGACCTACTGCTTCCAGGATGGTGGCTATTTCGTGAATTAGTGCCTTATTTATCTTGAATATTTTAAATAGAGCGAAGCGAAGAGATAGCCAGTTAAGAAGAATACATAAGTCAAAATCGATTCAATTATTCGACGTGGAACCAGTCTAGGTTGAGAGCTGTGCGGGATTCAAGGGCCGGGAATAAATTTGTATTTTTAGGGTGCGCCCAAAATTATACCCAGATTGGAGTGTGTAGGGGTCGAGACTCGTGACTTTTTAACTATTATCCTTCGTCTACACACATAAATAATAGAATAAATGAATGTAATTTATATGTTATTCCCCCTCCCCTCCTTCCATGGGATCATATTTTTTATTGTTGTTGAGTAAATAATGTTTATTTTGAACAAAAACTCGAATTCAATTATGAGGATTAATTGATTCAATTATGAGGATTAATTGAATGTCTTGATGATATCAATTGTATTATATTTTCAAAAAAATATAGTGCTTTGCTTATATAGGCCCAAAGAAAATTGTCTGGATTTCCGTAAGAAAATGGAGTGACAAAAAGCACTTTTAAAAAATTATCAATAGAATAAAAAGTGTAATTTTAAACCGAGTAATTCAATAACTCTGCAAGTAAATCAGTTTTTTTTTTCTTCTTAAAAAAATAAATTCCCCTAATCATATTTTTTTTTGTTGAAGAAAATTAATCTTTTTAAAATAAATCTTTAAATTATCAAAAATTAAATGAT